GTGAGGAGTGAAATGATTTGAAGTATATATGAAATAATTCATATTTGAACTGTGGTTGTAGATGAAAGTGAAGAATGATCATTGCAGTAAATTTTCCAGTTTAAGCAATTGGAAAGAAGAAGCCTGAAAAAATCAGGGCTTCAACGGTATTCGAACCCATGACCTCCACCACTTCTCGGTGTTGGTGCCGGTGTTTGGAAATGTGGTAAAATGGTCTTGTGTTTGATAAATTATGTCAAGTTCTCCACATGCCCTTGGCTGGTGCATCTACTGGATAAATAGCAACTGTGTAAATGTCAGGGAAAGAGAGAGCTGTAAAATCATTGCTCTGTCTGTAACATTGGCAACTACTTTTGTTAAGGGTTTACAACAATTCTACTCGGGTTTCTTATTAAGGGCTGAGCACCGGGCAAATTGACCAGCTACGAGGACAATTTTGCCTGCTTGGTTTGACCATGTAGAGGAAAGTTCTTCTTATAAATAAATTCAGTTTAAAACACTTTGCCCCCTGTGAAAACCAGTTGCCCCCTGCTGAAAGCGTTAACGACACCACTGCTACTGTAAGGAAGTTTTAACATTTTAGTCTACAAGGGAAAGCACTGGTGTGACCATTCAAATCAAAGCTATCGAGTATTACTTTTGAACCTTCAACACTCCTTAAGGTAAAACTGGTTTGTTCATTTCCCTGTACTGGAGTCTGAAGAAGATAGAAGTGACTTAATCTACAATCAGGAGCTCTTTTTAGGAACAAGAGGGCCTCAATGTTGCTTGCCTATTTCTTGTCAATCATTTTACATTCCACTATTTGAAAGAAGGGATGGGTTTTAAGTTTGTTTCAAACAAAAATGTCGCAAAATTCATAGTAAATTATCCGTGTTTATTTCAAAGATTACAATCTGTAAAATGCTTGCTGTGGCTACCTAAGAAAACATTAAATTATTGCAAAACACATTTACATGCCTGTTGTAAGGGGGCCTGTACACATCATTTACATCCTAAAAGGTTTTGAAATAACATTACTCTTGGGGAACACAATTCACACTAGTTTAGGAGGAACAGACCAGTACTGCATCAATATTACACTGCAAAAAATTCTGTTTGAGTGCATTTCATTTAAGCTGTTTTGTCATTCAATTTGTTCCAGACCAGAAAGGTGATCCTTGGTAGCCAGCTTGATGGCCCTTGTTTTGTCCTTGTTTGGGCCCCTGTCCTTGAGACGCCCTCTGGGAGGTTCCTGGCTGCCCTGTTTCCATATGATGAGGCATGTGGTGATGGTAGTGGGATGGTGGGTGGTGTTGCTGGACAGGAGTCATCATTGACATGAATGGGTGTCCTGTGTGAGGATAGCTGCCCAAGGGACCATGTTGTCCTGTCATGGAAAGATTTAATGCTGGTGGTGGTGTACCGCCAATAAATGGTTTGTTGTCATTAAACTAAACAAAGGATCAAAAAAGAATACCATTAAATATCACAGGAGCCCACCAACATGATCAAACGGCACTGTTTACTTGCCAAGCTAAAGAGCATCAACAATACTTACCTTTCCAACCTGAGGCTTATAAGAAGCTCCAGAGAGATCCGAGGCACTGCTTACAACTGCCCCTGTAAATGCATTGAATAAAAGATGATAAGCATACAATATAACAATCCAAAAGGGACAAGTGTTGAACAGTGGTCATTTGAGTAGATAACTATCATATGAAACAAGATGTCACAAACCTGCATTAGATTTACTTTGCGATGGTGAAACCGATGTATGGTAACCAGACTTTCCAAAGTCATGGCTCTGATTTAGATCATCATATCCTGTTAAAACAGAAAACCAAAATGTAACAATTCTGACAAAAGGTACAAGTAAGGAACTACAATTCTCATCGTTGATCATTATCAGGTAATGTTCATTATCCACATAGTAAACCTACCAGATGCAAAATTATGAGTTCCATGTTGACCTGAGGTATAAGCTGATTGGTATTGAGAAGCATTCCCATGTGTTTTTGTTGGCATCTGTATAAGAAAGTAATATAAGAAATAAAATTAAAAATAAATTAGTTTCCTGCCATGATCATGTAAGTGATAACCTACATAGCAGTTATTTCTAGGGAAAGACAAACAAAACAAACGGGAAAAAAAATTCGGCCTGTAATCATACAAGTGATTAAGAAAATCGGACAACCTCGAAGCGGGAGTCTGATTTGTTAATCACGAGTGTGATTACAGACTGAATTAGATGACATGATGTCTTGTTACCAATTAATCATAACCATTACAATTTCCCACAATTTGAAAAATAGCTTTTGATAGTCATTTTTAAATATCGTAATTAAGAATATGGGAATAGCTTACAACATGGCTGTTAAGTTTCTTTCAAGACAGTCACCGGAAACTTAACCACAATTTTACAAAATCAGTCTCTTGAATTGGTTACTATAGTGACTGTAATCAATGTTGCGATTGGTGGATTTCAGTGTTTCAGCCAGAAAATTCTACATGAGGGCCAAATTGGCCCCTGAACATCTTTTTTAGGGTCAATTTTTTAGGAAAGGGGCAAATAAATTGAAAGCTACAGAAGGAAAAGATGCATCAGGGTATCAAGGAAAATAAAGCAGCTTATTAGGGTCTATGATAAAATTTAATAGTAAGTGTTTCTACTCTATAAAGTTTCTTTCGAATTAGATACCAGTATGAAGGATCCGTGCATTACAGAAGAACAATCCTTAGGTGTACATGACGTAGTCAATGACCAAGGGTTTGCAATGCATTATAGGGTGTTTTTTTGTAACATGGTCAGCCATTTGGAAGTTTTCCGATATGAAAGAATCAATACAGCAAACAGCACAGCAAAGCAAAAGGACGGATTGGCTTCTTTTCTTATGTTGAATGTTTTCAATGATTTTCTAGCGGGACATTATGTGTGACAAAATAACCATTGTTGATCGTCAACACAGAGAAATGTAGTTGACATTGTGGGGACTAAACCAGAATTTTTGGTTGCCAAGGATGAAATGTTAGTTGCATTGGTGATTCAGATAGCCTATGAACCTATCTTTAGAAAGGGCCAAATTGGCACTTTTTTCGTTTTTCTGGGGGCCATCTCTGATTCCAACACAGGATTCCCGCAATGGCACGGTCTGGCGGAAACACTGGGATTTGGTGGAGAGGACTTAAAATGATTGGCTCATGTAAATGTCCAATCACAAGTGTCCAATTAAAGCCAACTGTCTGATTACACTGTCCGATTACAACTTTGTAGATTAATTAGAGCAAAATACACCAGTTTATGCACCAATCACATTTGAGGAAATTGTAATTGTTATGATTATTTATCTTGTCATATGGAGCACCACTAGTTTGTCAGTCCCCAGCTGTAAAGCACTTTTTCCTTTTTCCAGCTCAATTTTTAGAGTCTCGAGCCCTGTTGTTTACTTGACTGTAGTCTTTTCCTCTTCTTTGAGAAGCAACTTCACCACAAAATTGTAAAATTTCACATCTTGCTAGACAGAAAACAGACTCTAACTCCCTCATGTTTTTTTCTGTGCTGTTTAATCTTTTTGCATTATTGAAAGAAAGACTGCTCATATACAAAGCAGTTGCCGTAGCAAACAGAATTCCAAGAAAGATGGACAACTCTCTTGCCTTTGTTGAATGTTACTTAATTACGTTGTTTTTGTGTAATTAGACTGCTCTTTTAGCATTTCCCTCTCATAACTGTAATTGAATTATTTTGCTTTGGTTTAGCATTAATGAAAAACTAATGAAAAAAAGGTGTAAGTGAGTGCAAATGTAATGATATCTTGTGGTAGAAAATGTGAAATAAAATTAAATACTAGTAAATATTGTCTTTTGGTATGCTATTCTCTACAAAGTGAAAATGAACCTTAAAGTCAACTGCTGGTGTAAGTACCTGATACATGGGTGTAGTGTATGCTGGGAAACCCCCAGCCATCATTCCAGCTCCAGGGTAAAATGCTAGTCCACCATATCCATAAGGGTGTGGCATTGTTGTAGCATTAATGAATGCCTGCTGCTGAAGATGTGCCTGTGGAAGCGTTACCGTCTGGTTTAAGGATGTTGGAACTGGAGAAGATGCATCAGTGCGTCCAAACTTCTGGTCACCTATCAAACACAACATACAACAAAAGGTTCACAATGGAAATTCCAGAAACCAGGTCATTTTCATACAATGTAGTTTCAATACAAGCCACTTCAATACAAGGCAATTCAATACACATTATTTTAATGTCAACTGAGGAAGCTACTAGGCCATTAAGGTAACGGCACACCCTCAGGAGTTTTCTTGCACTGTAGGCTCCGGAGTTAAACTCATCCCAGAGGGCAAAGACCTTAGTCAGAAGGTCTAGGAATTTTCTCCACTGAATACACGGAGGAGGAGGCTGCATTGAATACTGCATTGAATCAACTTTCACTTGTACTGAAACGACTGTATCAAAAAGACCTGACACCAAATCATGAAATGATCTTCAAAACTCAACACCTTCTCTCTCCAACAGAAGTCTTTATCCTTCCATATTTGCATTTCAATAGATGAAATGTAAAAATGAAAATGATGAAAAGACTCTTCCCTGGATATTTCTGAGGAAGGCTTGTTACCCTTTTATGGGTATCTGTTCTACACACAGCAAGTCAGAACAACTTGTCTAATGGAACTTATTCAGTCAAGTATGTGTGCTTACCATGAAATTGTGTAGACAGGCCCTCTCTACCAGCAGCTTGAAATGGAGGCATATCATAGTATGCAGACTGCATGAAAAAAGCAAAATGAAAAAATATCAGTGATACTAACCAACTTCATGATTGGCTTGCAATCGCCTGACATGTACATTAATCAGGTGGATATTAAATTATAGCAAAGGGTGCTTCTTATTTCCCAAAACCCTATCTGTGTGACAAGTTCTCTTCTGTGATATAGGTAAGTGGTTATCTTTTTTTCAGTGTCAAATCCCTTCTGAGTTCTAAACTGAATTGTGGAAAAGAAGATAATAATACCATTGGTAGTCTTTGAAGATCTTCATATCCATATGGCAAGGGCTGCAAGGGGGATAAAGAATACAACACAGGTAAGTTGACATTGATCCACCATACAAAAAGTACGTGGGAAAGGAGAGAAAAGGTGTTGCTACTTACATAAGCATGAATGAGGCCTTGCTGCATACCATAAAGAGTGTTCATTGGTAACACTCCTGGAGGTAATGACGGTTTGGCTGAAAATAAAAAAAAAACCAGACAATCAAAACCTTAACTAAAAACAAAAGCTGACTTAGGAATAAAGACGCATTAAATGAAAATATAGACTCGAACATAATTTTTGTCATACACATTAAAAGAAGACATGCATAGCGATTTTAAACAATTCAATCCAAATTTTACTAGATAACTTACATTTGTATTTGAAAATTTGATGATCATTTTTAGCAAGTAACGTATCTCATTTAATTAATACTTAACTTATCCACCACATACTTGTCCCCATCACCAAATTCCACTGCCTATCAATTTATCATTTCTTTTTCAGTTATGCAAATGAGAAAACAAAGCAAAAAAAGAACAGCCTATAAGGACAGCTCTGGAAGATCAACTTACTTGTGTGTGAGACTGGTTTTCCTGAGCCTGACATGGTCACCGTTGTGAAGCCAGATGTTGTGGAGGTAGGAGCTTGGTTGACTGTTAGAGGCACAGACACCCCAGGAGGAGGCTGAAGTGGTTCTACAGAGGAAAGATCATTCCGTGGCACAGAGGTGGACCCAGCAGAGCTGCTTAGTGAGTTGGTACCAAGTTTGTCTTTTGTAGATGGAACTGTTGGCTGGGGTACATGATGTTTCTGTGAACAATACACATTTTTAATATACAGTCAGACCTCTATACAACAGCCACCTTGGGACAGAGGAAAGTGGCCATTGTAGAGAGATAGCCACTATGGGGAGAAAGGGGTGATATGACAACTGTTCTTTTCGGGGGTACAACTTTTGTTTCTTTAAAACATGGCTTACTTTAGCCTATAAATAAGTAACACAATCAAAATATATCAATAAAACAAAACCTAAATAAAAAAAGAGACCAGTGACGCATAATACGCACCAAGTTTGGTGACCTTTTCCAATAAAAAGTGTGGTTTTGTATTCAACGTTTGTCAGTAATATTGATTAACTGGCCATTGTCAAGAGGTTCCTTTGGCAGTTGGGAAGTGTTTTAGTGGCTTTTGCCCTTGTTGAGAGGTGACTGTTGTAGAGAGGTTAAAACAAAAGTGAATGTATGGACTTTCTGCTGTGGCCGTTAGAGGAGGTTCAACTGTATACATAATACACATTGCATGAATGCCGAGTTACCAATGAAAGATGCCATTTGTGAGGATGGATCCAACTGGATACAAGATGTTTCAACCCAAATATTAATATATTGGTAAGTAGAATGAATAAAAGGTCTACTCCAGTTTTACCTGGTAAACTCTTGTGTCCAGAGTGATATCCTTCTGCATTGTGGAAGACAGAGTTGGTCTTAGTGGGGATGAAGAACCAGTTTGATTAAGATTTGTTCCACTTAGAGATGGCGATGGAATGCCAGATGGTTGAAGACTAGCAGGAGAATTCTGTTGGTCATTACTGTGTGGTGGCTTGCCTGGCATGGAGTTCTCTCTTGAATCCAGCTGAGAAGGCAGTGGAATTGGCTCTGGTGTAATTTGCTACAAGAAAAGAAATGACACAATCACGGGTTCTGCAGAGTGTTTAACTTATTAACAAAAATAAACTCTGAAATCCAAGGAGGAAAGATCTCTTCCATAGCACCTTGCTACAAACCTTTGTTACTTGAGACACAAGTGGCTGTTGTTGGGTGCGAGGAGATGGGTGCTGGAAGTGTCGGGGTGAACTCTCCTCTAACGTTGTCACACTTGAGGAAGCTGATGCAGTAGTTGCTATAGGGATGGATGTGGTGATGGGAGAGGATGGTAAACTTGTCACAACATGCTGTGATTCTAGTGGTGGACTTGGTGAATCACTGCTGCTGGTTGAACTAGAAGTGTTTATACTCACAGTCAATATAACAGCTACAAAAAGGTAACATTGCTACCAACAAAAGGTTGTTGAAGAAGAATTCACCTTTGCTCATCAGACCTTGTGTCTTCTACTACAGGGAGAGGTGTAGGGAATTCCTGAAAAGTGCAGAAAATATTTTGTCAATGTATGCTCCATGAGAAAAAACTATTTTCTTTAAAATTACGTGTACTTGTTCATGATAGTTGAAATCAAACAACTCAACACCTTAGAGACCACTTGAGCTTCAACTCACCTCCTTTTTCCGTGGGCTACTGACAGAATCACCACCAAACTCCAAGTTTCCAAACTAAAGTCACAAACAAATCAAAGTTTAATATAAATGATGTTTCCATCAATGAAGACCTTCATCAAGGAATATCACTAAAATGAGACGATCCAATCCCCAATGTGGTACACAGGACACACAGCTTTGCTCAATTTCCCTACTATATTCACAGCTATAACAACTTGCTGAACCCCCACAGTTAGACCAGTAAACTTGCTTTACATTACAAAACAAAAAAACATTTACAATAAAAGGCATCCGCTGTGTTCCCTGTACTGCAAAGAGAAGCCCAAGGAGTGTAAGAATTATATTTCTGATAGCATTTAAAATCAATTAGTACTGATATTGTACCCTGGACCAAGCCTGTTAATATGATCAAGTTCTTATGGTGCTCATGTTAGCACGGTTCAAATGTATCTGTAGTATATATAGCACTCACTTGTACATCAAGATTGTCATTCATTGATCCAGGCATCTCTACAGCTTGAACAGGAATCTGCTTATCCACATTAAATTGGTTAACATTATTTGTAACCATACATACATAAATGGAGGTACTACAAAATTTAATTAAAACAGAAATTTTAGTTTCTTTCTCCACAGGAACAAGTCAACCATCATAATTATCACAAGTGTCCATATCAGGGAGCTATCCATATTAAAAGCTTACCTTTAACTTACTATCCAGAGACTTTTACAGGTAACTTGATATTAAAATTACATACCACTGAGTTTAGGTTGGTTAGAATGCACAAGTTTGTCCTTTCACAAACAAGTGATTTTACATCTTCTAGTACTGTTACTTACTTGGCTTTTCTGTGACCTCTTTGTTCTGCTAGTGCGTGGCTGTCTTTGTGGCTGAGCTTGTATTGTTGTCAAAGAATTCTGAGGTGACACACCAACGGAGGCAGACAGTTTGACTTTATCCAAGAGCTTACTGATTGAGTCTTGATGGTCGTGTATGTTGTGCAGCTCACCAGGGAGTGGAATACGAGGCATGGAAAATTCCACTGCAGAGTACTGGTCTTTACTTGCGGGTTGATTTGAAGCAAGTTTGGAATGTATAATTGCCATGTCAACACTGAAGTAAAGGAGACAGGTAACATGAGCAATAACTCACTACATTGTCAACCATTAAAAAATGAAAACCCAAGCCTGGACTTAAAAAATGTTGACTCAGTCCACACTTGCTGACCATCTTCTTATCAAGATTGACTACTTTCTTTAAATTGACAGACAAAAATGAAAGCCAAAGGTCACTCACCTCTCTGGTGTAAAGGGAGCATTACTCTCAGGAACCTTCTGTCTACTGTCTGTGGTCTGCACTGTAGGAGCTGTCGAGTTACTGACTGTCTCAGTGTCCACATCCCACGAGACTATAGAGCTGTCAGAACTTACCGGCCATGAATGAGAGGACGAAACGGTATTGTTGAACAATGTATCATTGGTGCTTGATGTCACCGACTGTAAAAGATTGTTAAGTCAAACGAGAATGAGGTTTGCAACAAATCAAAATGTATCCAGTCTTGGAAAATTAGTTATAATAATTCTGGAAACAAAGAACAAAATTTTTGAAACTTTAACACAGTAGCATTCATAAGAGAGTTTGAATGAAATGTGATGAAATAATTCAGGTACAGTACAATAGATGTGATTAAACAACTACGAAAAAGCCACAGGTGTGAAATGTTAATTTAACATGCTGTTTAATTGCTTCAAATTTCATGTACCTGTTCTACTGGAGTCCATTCCTCTGTTCCCCACTCTTCCGTTGTTGGTGGAATTAGATCTGCAGTGTCTGTTCATTAATTAAAACAAAAAGGGACCTTGTCACAAATAAATTCTACATTTTTTCAACCTGATTCCTTTAAAAATATCACTCTTTAGCCCCATAAGATTTGAAACTGGTGGTTTTCTTTACTATACTCTGTAACTGATTTAAAAACTTGAACAATGTACTCAACTTATCTAGAACAAACACAAACCAATCCTGACTTTGTCACTTGTGTTTTCCATGCTTGATAACATATATTTGCCATTGCTTCTAGTATTTGTTGCAACTGGTCACTGTCAAAACTTGGTTTTGGGTTTTGAAAAACTCAGTAATAATGAAAACTACTCTTATTCCTTCATAATGTTTAAATTTGCTCAACAATTCATCCGCCAAAATGTCCCCAGTTAATTTTTGGGAAAAGTCACAAAGTTTGACCACTACAGCTATAGCTTGAATGCTGTCGTTGTAATAGGCAGGGACAATTTGTACCCTCCTCTCCACCAGGTAAATAGGGTTAAGTTGCTGATAGTTTTTTTTCATGATTGCAATACCCATGAACACAACAAGAACAACCAGGGTAAAGAGAATTTCTTTAACTTTAAACCTGAAAGGATTGATTCCACCAAGGTGTTGTTCACTGAGTATCTACAAAGCCTCTAAACCATTCATCATTTACTCACGCTCTGAATCCTTCTCTTTTGAAACATCATCATCATTATCCCCCCACATCTCTGTGCCTATTCAACACAAAAAATTACTCAATTAATCTATTTGTTGAAGAATTGCATTTACTAGGTACAATGCACCTTACCGTTCACTTTTGGTCCATTTACTGCTGTGGAGTTTGAAGCATTTCTGTTTCCTCCACCAAATCTGTTGGGTCGATCTCGTCCACGAGATTGGAATGATCTCCTAATATTTTGTGAACAAAAGCAAATTAAAACATAAAACATTGTAAGGGCCCCATAGGCATCTTGCAGATTGTCCATGACTTGATTATGCTCCATACAATGTATCACATTCAGCATCATACTTTCTTGCTCTAAAGAAATTCTGCCTCATTTCCTTCTGTGAAAAGCAGTCCACAGAAAATTAAGAAATTAAGAAACTTAAAAAAAAAATCAGAAAACAGCAAACAAAACATTTCTCACCCAGGCCTTCCACCTCCTCTTCCACCCCTCCTTGGTGGGCCACCTTAACAAACACAACAGCAACTTTATTCGTATGACATCATAATTTGACATATACAAAGGATGTACCTGAGGGTTTGGTGTTCAGTCTGTGCTTCACACTAGACAGTAAAGCAGACTGTAGTAATCTAGATGTTGTTGAGAGTACTCTTATACACATAACCCTTAGAGGCTATTCATAGACTGCAAGACAAAATTATCACTGATACTTTATGTGCCCAAAAACATTTGATTAGTCACAGAACAATAGCATAGTCATCTATAAACATGCCAACAAAATGTTCTGCACCTCTGCCACCAGGTTTTCTATCACTCCATCTGTCCTCTCTAGACCCTCTTCCACGTCCACTCTCTCCAGCATTTCTGTCATTGTTGGTAACTGTTCCTTCATTCTTGTTATCTTTTTCTGAACTGTTGCTATGCTCTCCCGACTGTCTATTCCTCCCTGGGTACAATAAAGCAATGAAATAGAACAAAGAATGTTAACTACTGAGTCAAAAGGCTGAGTAAACACAGATAACAAACAACTGTAAAAATATTGATAATCAACTAAACCCATTTGCCCTCAAGCAAGTTTATACTTATAGCTAAATTCAATAAAACATAAGTCACTTTCGCTTGCAGGAATTTACCTTTCACAAGCAAAGAAGACAACAGTCAATGGGTTACTTTTCACAAAAATTCAGTTGTAAATACAACTTTTTTACAGTTTGAAAATGGACAACTGTACCTTTGCCTCTAGGTTGTCGTGGCCCTCCTGGTTTAGCTGATGTAGGTGCTGTAGTTGTCGGTGGTGTTGCCTGTGATGTGGGGATGATTGTATCGATGCCTTGAGTGACAGGAGTTTGATGTTTCTTCTTTTTGGTCGTTCTCATAACCCATTCACTCTGCAAATGGTTCATACAAGTATGAAGTTATGGTCCCCTATAAATTTTTGTAGTTTCCAAATTCAGGAAGTGTCTAAACACAAAGGTTTATATAACTGATCTACATGTATAATTCTGGACAAATTTACAAAGAAAACACACAACACTTCAAATTATGAAGTACCCCAACACTCCTATTAACGTTGGGAAAATCCATTTATGTGTCAGTTTTTGTTAGCAATGTACAGTTTTCCAATAGCTGTAACTAAGGATGTAGCTTCAGACTTCCAGTTAACACAAAATCTGAGACTTATACATACAGAGTTCAACATGCACATTCACAAGATAGACTGTGTTTGTCATATAAATAAGCACTTAAAAAGGGACTGAGACAAACTGTCAATAAACAAAAATACACAAAGAAGCTAAGAAGCTAATGAAGTTAAAGTGTTCAAGAATCAAACAAAAGTTTTAAATCCTATCAAACCTGGTCTTGTCTTCCTTCCAATAAAGCATTAATTGTGGCTTCAGTGTCAAAATTACAATCATGTAGAGCAATGCTCACAACGTCATCATTGTAGCCTGTCACATCAGCCACCTAAAAGTTAAACAATGTAACCAAATTTTTCAAGTAACTAGGCAACTAAATTAACAGATTGAGTTCCTTTTGCATGGCACATACAAGCACCAAAACACACATTAACTGCATATGCATTTAAAAACAAAGAAGCAGATCCTTGTTAGCTCTCTATACTCATATTGTTAACAGTCAAATTCATCTTGTACCCAGATATTAAAAAAAAAAACAGCCAAGTGTGACTATACCAACATGAGACACCCAGTGTGAAAATGGATGATTCCAGAAAATATCCATACCTATACCAGGGGCGGCTTTTCAGAATTCCAAGGGGTTCTTTGAACTGGAAATCCAACAGCATGGGGTACTTACAATAGTTATTATTGGAACTCCAAGGGCATGATGGGGGGAGGGTACAAGAGTGTGAAAGCACAAACGAACTGACAAGACTGCTGACAACCGTGGAAAGCAAGATACACGACAAGCATCGATTGATCATGCAAGTGTTCATGTTCATTTACAGAAAAAAACCCAATAAAATCCAGGTTGTACATTGGGCTTCAGAAGCCTTCAAGTTGATGAATTTCTTGTCAGATTGATGTTTTACGATGAACCACCATATTTGTTTACTATGCGCCAGTAATACCTAGATCGAAATTAACAAGACAGCCCATAAAGAAACCGATGTAATGGCATCTGATCAATCAAATGAATGACATTCATAATATCAAATATAAGTTAGGCAGGATTTGCCCATGCATGATCTAATTTCCATGGTAACTAACCCACAAAACAAATTAAATTTTTATTTCTCAGTAGTTTAGTAGAAGACTAGTTGTAAAATGCAACTGAAATAGAGGAAGTTTTAGTCCCTAAACATTAAGTCATGAATGCATGTGATCATATTGGTTGTAATTTTGAGCCCTGTAGACAGTTGTGTCACTGAAAATTGTTGGCAAAAACTTCTGGCAAGATGTGAAAGCATAAAATATCTTTCATTGGAAGATGCAGAGAGTCAAACAAGGAATTGCAGATGGCTGAAGTAAAAAAAAAAAATCCAGAAGCGAGGGGTTTGACGATTTTGGAATTTGGAAGACTGGGGAGGGTAAAGCATCATGAAATTTCTGAAGGCAAGGGGGGTTTAAAATGTTCATACCACCCGTAGAAGGGCATGGATATTTTCTGGAATCACCCAATAGACAATAATTTGAGAATGGCTAACTCAGTTATCTAGGACACACTATACAGTCGGATGTACTCCAATACCTAAGGACTTAATATTTGCAAATGCCCGAGGCTTACATTCAAGGTCAGAAAAGTTTTAAATGGAACAGATGGACAACACAGATGCTGACGGTAATCAGGGTTGCCACAAAGTTTTATAATAGGCAGTTTTAATGCTGGTGTACATGTAGGTGATTAATTTTGCAATCTTTGTCTAAAGAGTCAGATTAGGACATGTTCTACACTAGAAAATGCTGTCAGAATATTAATTTCTGGCTTATTCATTTCCAAGTTACTCAGTCATCAGAAAGCATATTTTTGACATTTATCTGTGGAATACATACTATTGTGCAACATTTGTCGAGTCTCTATCAGATTAAATATTACCTGCTTGATCTTCTCTCTCATTACTTTGGCATCCTCTGTATTTAAAAGCTGGGCATATCTGATTTGTTCTGCAGTAGGCTGCAAAATGCCAAAGCACCATTACATTCATACCCCGAACATACCCATGACACTATTTTCCATGGTACTTCTTAGGGATATCAAGAATTAAGCCAGGCTGTATATAGTACAGATACATATGTTATATTTTTAGAAAATATTATATTATGAATTTTCCTGCAGTCAGATTATCTTTTTCAGTACAAATTTAGAACTTGATGTGACTGGCACAACTGATTTAAGAAAATGGTAGGGTATTTGGCTACCTAATGTCAGTATTTTGAATCAATTAATCCTTAATTACTGGGAAGAATGAGACAAGTGGTTGATATTGTCTGTTTTGTTTACTTTAATGGACTAAATCTTAGGGCTTTGACGTACTTAGCATGGAGGTTTATTTAAATCACCCCTTGATGGCTTCTTTTCTGCATTGCATAGCTTACAATCAATTTATATTCTCTTAAGTTATTAGTGAAGTGTAGTGAACTCAATTTATAAAACTACAAGTCTAAATGTAAGCTTATAGATGCAATAACATGCCACCACCATGGAGAATGGATTTCAATATAGATTAACTCTATCTTAGTGAAATAGCAAGGATTAATTCATGTGAATTAAAGAACCAGGTAATAGTTACCTTTTTTGTAGTCATACTGTCTGTGTGTTTGGTCTGTGATGTTTGTACCGCTGTTCCTCCTTTCATTTTGCTAGTTCCCTATCTGTACAGTATATACAAAGTATGTACAACTTTCCTGTAAAATAAAGTTAAATAAAGATATATCAAATGAGGAAGTTCACAGCATATTACACATTAATTTTAAGGCCACACGGCCAAAGTTCTGCCCGTTTAGCGAAACTTGAAAGAACGGAAGTGCTCGCATACGTCAAATGCATATTTAACAGTTCACCTTATTACTCGCGATAAAGCAGTCCTTCAAATTTATTTTGCTTCCCCTGATTAAGTAAGGCTATTATTTTACTTTCAACGGATCGAAATTAACAAGACAGAGAAGGCGTGTAGTCCACAGAAAATGACAACGAACTAGGATTGAGTCACAAATCCAAAATGGTGATGACTACCAAACAAGATGAGCACAGTCTACCAAGATGAAACACGAACGAAAATTTCGACTTTCCAGACGATTAAAACACAATCAAACCGACCAGTTCACCGAAATGCATTTGCATTTCAACGAAAGGGGTAGCCATACTCTTTAAAGTAGGAATTTCGCCCCAAACATCCACAAAGAACAACTTATGAGTCCCATTGCATTGGCATTTTTCTCGAACATGTGCCGATCACTGTAGGCAAACTTTCGTTTCTTTGCTCCTCCCCACAGACTTCCACGTTTAAGGCACATAAGCAAATCGACAGTATAAACTTCATAGCTTCATATTCTAGGAAGGGTGAAACAATTGGTGAAAGATAGGTCCATATACGTGTTTCCTACGTGGAATAAACCAAGGGTGTACGGAAAAAATGCAACAATATTCCTTCGCCTCGCGGCCGTAAAACCCAAGATCCATGAAAAATACGTAAACTCGTCGTTGAACAATCCATTCTTGTTTAAAAATCGACGAACAAGAAGCCAAACTTACCTATAATTTTGCTGGAAATTAGAAACGAAGACTTTTGCCGCTGCACCAGACATGCAGGACACAATACATGCGTTTTGGCGAAATTCGTGAGGTCACGTGCTACATAATTTTTGGCGCGTTCTCGCGGGAAACTGGTACCTAATTTGTCAGCGCCGCGTTGCTAATTCGCCTACGGCGACTTTCACCCCAAAAACGCATCAAATATATATCTTCCGTCCACACTACGCCGGAGAAATTAAAAAACGTAACAATCACCGGTCATTTTGGATTTGTGTTTGAGGAAAACTTGTTCAGGGAAATCACATGATTACCATGACGCCATCGTTTTCGAAACTTAAAGTTCCGTTTTCCAAAAATGTTTTGGGATGTTTTCCGTTCACACGAATACGAAAAGGACTCGAAGGGCGGGCGTTTTCAAACTCCTCCGGTTTGAAGAGCGTTTTCGAAAAGCTTCGTTTTCGTGACGAATTGGTGTGGACGGTAGGCCTAACCGTAGAAATAAAGCTGCGTTTTGAAATTCCTCCGGCGTAGGGACACCGCTGATTTGAACTCGGTTATTTCGAATTCCCCCTTATATCGAACTGAAAACCATTTCCTCCGGATTTGCCTTTAAGTCATTTACTATCGGCTATTTCGAACTCCCGCTATTTCGAACTATTGGTTGTTTTCCCTGGAGTTTGAAATAGCGGGTGCAACTGTATGATAACCACCTAGTGGTAAATTTTTTCATATATTTTGTATTTTTTCGTAGTTTACCTGGAAATGGAGGGATACCAGACAAAGGAGATTAAGTGAAATATAACAAAGAAATGAAAACTTTCCTCCTTTGAGTCCCGGAATCTTTTTC